CAGATGAAAAAATGCAGTCCGTGAGGTTTGTTTTAAATGAGAATTAAAAGACAAATCTTGATCAAATGTTACTCCGAGGTTTCTTACGGTAGTGCTAGAGGCCAGAGCAATGCCATCTAGAGAAACTATGTCATCAGATAAAGAGTCTCTGAGTTGTTTGGGGCCAAGAACAATAACTTCAGTTTTGTCTGAATTTAACATCAGGAAATTGGTGCTCATCCAGGTTTTTATGTCTTTAAGGCAGTTATGGAGTTTAGTTAATTGATTACTTTCTTCTGGCTTCATCGATAAATACAACTGTGTATCATCCGCATAACAATGGAAATTTATAGAGTGATTTCAAATGATGTTACCTAAAGGAAGCATATATAGAGTAAATAGGATTGGTCCGAGCACAGAACCTTGCGGAACTCCAAAACAAACTTTAGTACGTAAGGATGATTCATTATGAACGTCAACAAACTGAAAACGATCAGATAAATAAGATTTAAACCAGCTTAGTGCAGAACCTTTTAGGCCAATTAAGGGATCCAGTCTCTTTAGGCATTATTGAGGCATAAAGTCTGTAATCTATATTTAAAATTGATATGGGTCTGTATGAACTACATTCACTTTTGTCCTTGCCTGCCTTTGGGATTACGGATATTATTGCTTGTTTCTGTGAATCCGGTATTTCTCCCCCTTTAAAGGGGAAGTTCTGTTTTTTACAACCTGGACCTTATTCCTGGCATTAAATACGGTTGTTTACTCACCCAGATAAGTTTGGTGTCATTTGGAGTCCTTCGGAAGATATTTAGATCTGCGAGAGCCGCGTACATCCATATAGTGGGAGTGATCAGGGCACCGACAATGAGGCTCTAAATAACACATTATCTGCCGCAAAACTCGTTCATTTCACCAATATGTTTTTATGAATCGCTAGAGTTGCTTGTCATCATCATCATCCAGGTCATTTATACTGACCTACTAACCTCTGACCTGGATGATGTCATCGTGCCGCCGCATGTCCGCAGGATGGCTCTGTTTACGCTCTGTTTACGGCTGAAATTAGTTAAAATTAATTAATTAATTAATTAAAATTAGTTTTTTGAAACATGGCTGAATATTTGTCAGATTTTGAGGTTGTGGACGACGACTTTGAATATGATGGATGTCCTTACCGTTTTGAGCCAGAGTATACGGATGAGGAGCTCTTTGAAAGGAGGATCCGGAGGCAGAGAGAGGAACAGCTGGCCAGAGAACAACACACCACTGCACATCCGAGCTAACCGATGCTAAGTGGTGGTGTTCTTGTGGACAATGCTCCACTATGCCAACAGAGGAGGAATGTCTTTGTTGCTCCGAGTGGGATTTGAGGCCAGGAGATACACGTCTGGATGTCTCCAGAAATGACTGTCTCACAACAGAGGATTTCACTTCTATGATCAACCGGGCTGTTGTAGAGACTTTTTTTTCGTGTCCCGAAAGTAAACGGGAAGACACAGCCAAAGCCTGCAGGACCGAACGGGCAACTTTCAATTGAGTAAGTAAAGTTAGCCTACACACATGCATAAGTTGTTTATTTTCCTTGAATTTGTTTGCTTGATAAGTAAATAACTATAAGAATTTACATTTCTTTAGTTTCTTCTCATCGCTTGTGTGGAACGGCCCGCACACTGCACAAAAAGCAGAGGCACTTCTTATGCAAAACGTGAATTTATTATTATATAGTGCTCAGTGACAAAAAGTGAGAAACAGAAAGGTGAATGTTTCGGTGGTAAAGAGGGTTGTCTTTACGAATTGCCTCTGACATCATCCAGGTCAGAGGTTAGTAGGTCAGCATAAATGACCCGGATGATGATGATGACAAGCAACTCTAGCGATTCATAAAAACATATTGGTGAAATGAACGAGTTTCACGGCAGATAATGTGTTATTTAGAGCCTCATTGTCGGTGCCCCGATCACTCCCACTATATGGATGTACGCGGCTCTCGCAGATCTAAATATCTTCCGAAGGACTCCAAATGACACCAAACTTATCTGGGTGAGTAAACAACCGTATTTAATGCCAGGAATAAGGTCCAGGTTGTAAAAAACGGAACTTCCCCTTTAAGTGTATTACTGAAGCATCTTAAGATTATTGGTGTTAATAAGTCTCTTAAGTCTTATACCACTCTGCTGGGTACCCGTCTATTCCTGGTGCTTTATTTGTTTTGAGTCTTGAAATTGCTTTGTCTTTTTCTTGTTATCTCTCATGTCATTATTGTATTTTGTACAGTTCCAATTGATGGTAAATCTAATGAGTCTAAAAAATTAGATATGGCTGTAGGTTCAGCACCTTTGGGTTGGGTGTATAAATCTTTATAGTATTTTTCAAAGGAGAGCTGTATTTCATTCAGACTGTGACATATAAGGCCGGTGCAGGGGTCTTTAATTTTATAAATGGACCTTTCAGCTTGTTGTTTACAAATTTTCCATGCTAATAATTGTTTAGCTCTTGGTCCATTTTCATAATATCTTTGTTTAGTATATTTTACATTCATCTCCACCTGGCTATCATATATTTCATTTAACTTTTGTTTTGTTACATTAATTTGATTCAACAAGTGGGGGTCATTACATTCCACATGTTTAGTTTCTAAGTATTTTAGTTTTTCCAATAAATCCTTTATTTGTTTCTGTTTTTCCTTTTTCTTTAATGAAGACCACATTATTAGCTTCCCTCTAATTACTGCTTTTGCGGCGTCCCAAATGATACTAGGTGATGTTTCTTCATTATTATTATTATATTCTAAATAATCTTTAAATTCTGACTCAATGAATTTTTTACACTGAGGATCATTTCGGAGGCTAGTATTAAGTCTCCATGTGTTATCCTTAATTTTGTTTTCCAAATGTAGTGTTAAATACACCCCTGCATGATCAGATATATCTCTCGTCCCTATCTCACAGTTTGAAATTCTGCATCTCTCTAAATTAAACATAAAGAAATAATCAATTCTTGAGTAGACAGTGTGGGAGTGGGAAAAGAAAGTAAATTGTTTTTCTGCTGGATGAAATTCCCTCCATACATCTATCATACCACCCTCTGTAAGTAATTTATCCTCTTCAACGAGTTAGTGGAATCAAGGTAAGTTTGCAACTGAACATTCCAGTCCCCATCACAAATCAGACACCAGTGGATTCTGCGGCAATTAAGTCAAATAATTTTTTTAACAAACTTTTGGTCATTTCCTGGAGGTCTGTAAACATTTAGTAGTGTTACTTGTTTATGATCCAGGTATCCTTTAACCAGGATGTAATGCCCCTCCATATCAGCAATTTGTGCGGAGGGCTGGAAAGTCACCTTATCTGAAATTAATATAGCTACCCCTCTTGAATGCCCTTTACTATAGAAAGAGAAAAATGTTGATTTAAAGCTGTGAAGCTTTGGCCTCAGTTCTCAACTTTTAGAAGATCAAGACACTTGAATATGTTTTTTTTGTGACTTTGATTACTGGATGTCTGTTTATTTGTCATTCAGTCATGGTTAGTTGTCACGTCTCCAACGTGTTTAGAGTAAAACAGCAATGATTTTAACCTGTACTGAGAAGAGAGCATATATACTGTGTCACCAAAAGTCTACGCTCAACACAAATATCATTTGTCTTGTTCATTATTTCCTCTCCAGACTGAGTGGCTGTAACCTCTCAGAGAGAAGCTGTGAAGCTCTGTCCTCAGTTCTCAGCTCCCAGTCCTCCAGTCTGAGACACCTGGACCTGAGTAACAACAACCTGCAGGATTCAGGAGTGAAGCTTCTTTCTGATGGACTGCAGAGTCCACACTGTACTCTGGAAACTCTCAGGTCAGGATTCATTAACCCATTAAAGAGCTTTTTAAATCTGATTTACATCAGTGGATAAACAGCTAACCTGTGTTGTGTCTGCTGAGGACAGATCATATCAGCAGACACAACACAGGTTAGCTGATATGATCTGTCAAAGGACCTTTAACTAAACTTCATCAGTAGTTTCTAGACTCAGAAAATTGTTTTCCACAAAGTCTTTTATCATTTCCTTTTGTTTCTGAATTATTAAATAACACAGATGATTTGGGAGATTTATTCTAAATCAGAATTTGACCCTGAGCAGCTGTCACCTGCTCTGTACCTCATCCGCCACCAGAGGCAGAGGAGGTGGCATTAAAATCTGTGTAAAGCACTTCGGATAGACGCCCTATGTAAATGTCACTATTGTAAAATTTCTGGAGCAAAATGTACCTGAACAATAAACAAACATACAGCCAAGTGTTCACAGGAGGGTTCTTCAAGCTCTGGTTTAATGACGGAGTTGAGCCGTTTTGGTGTTTGCATGAGATTGTTGGGACAATTTAATGGCTCTGTATCAGATGTTAGCCACTGCTGCTGTGTTAGCTCATACTCACCAGGCAGATGAGGCAGGAAGACAGTGACTCACCAACATGGTCCTTTAACAACAGCTGAGAAACACTAAATGCTAGCAGGCTTTAAATCCAAGACAACATCACAACTATTGTTGCAATTTTTATTTGCCCCCACATCACAATGTTTGGAGAAGTTGCAGTGAAATGAAGCATTTCTGGCAGTAACAGTTACAAAAAATACTGCAAAGTCCTGGAGGGACTGAATAGCAAACTAGCAACAAACAAGATACCTGCAAAACATGAATACTAAACATTAACCCACTAGCATTGTCATAGTGAGCATGTTAGCATGCTGATGTTAGCATGTAGCTCAAAGCACCTCTGTGTCTAAGTCCATCCTCACAGAGCTGCTAGCATGACTGTAGACTCTTTAACATTCAGATCACAATGACACAGGTATGAACACTGGTGGAACATAAAAAGGAGATATTTGTGTAGGAGGTCTCCAAGGAGAACATCTCCAGGAACAAAAATGATAATTGCCTGTTGGTAATAATTGATGCAGTTTGGACAGATCTCTGCATGTTAAAGGAACTCAGACGCTACATTCAAGTGTGTTATCAACCTTGTGGACTGTTCCTTTATCAGTGTATAACAATATGTGTATGAGAGTGATGTAATGTCCATGTGTGCATGCTGAAAGAGGAAGTGCTGCTCTGACCCCCCTCCTTCTTTCAGGGTGGAGCCTGGTGGAGTCCGATGGTTGAGACCAGGTCTGAGGAAGTGTAAGTGTGTTTTTAATTGATTCATGAAAACAAAGCATCTTCAAACTGTGTCAGCTTTTCTAACAAACTGTACTGCATGTTGCAACTTTGAGGTGTTTTTATACGATGAAATTGCGGGGGCAAGTGAATCTTACAAACTAGTTGTGATGCTGTCTTGGATTAGGAGCCTGTTGTTATGAGCATTCAGTGTATCTGACAGAATTAGGATTTGTTTTTGATGGTGGGGGGAAGGGTGGGGGCTGACAGCTGTTGCTGCCATTGGACACAGCTTTGAAGGACCGTCTCAGTGAGTCGCTCTCCTCCTGCTGTCTCTGCTCAGTTAGCACGAGCTAACACAGCAGCAGTGACTAACATCTGACACCGAGCCGTTAAACTGTCCTAATGAGCTCACACTGACACCAAAACGTCTCCAGTCTGTCATTAAACCCGTTAAAGGGATATTCAGCTGATTTCCAACCAGTTTTGTATCATAACAATGTGGGTAGTTTGTGTCAGTGAACTGTGGTAAACTTCCCTCCATCTGACCAGCGCCCAGATCTCCCTGCTCATCTCTCAGCTCACATCTTTATTCTCTGGCTCTCAGGCTGTTGCTCCAACTACAGATTGTGCTTCAACATTTTCATGAGCTCACTCACTGATCGAGAGAGAGCCCCCTGAGTGAGAGCAAACAGTTTGAGCAGAAGCAGAGCAAATCTAAGTGCCAGCAGGGGCTGTTTGAGTTTTGAGGGAGAGAAAAAACAAAACCTGAATCAATGAATTTTNCCTGAAATCGAGTCTCAAATGTTCTCACCAACTAATACGCAGTCTCCAGAGAGAAAACATAGACCTCTGCACCTCAGTCTAACTACTCACTTCTCAGATGGACATGATTCAAAAAGGAAACAAAATACTGAAAGAAACTTTTCTTGACATTCAAACATCAAGCATGCATGATAATCTAATCTTCTCCGACATCCCTGACAACACTACAGACAGCTGCGAAGCACTCGTCAAGAACCTCATGTTTGGGGTGCCCACTAGTTCACCTGGTAGAGCAGTTGCTCCATGTACAAAGACCGTGTCCTTGCCACAGCAGCCGCAGGTTCAATTCCAACCCTCGACCCTTTGCTGCATGTCGTTCCCCCTCTCTCTTCTCCTTTCACGCTACAACTGTCCTATCAAATAAATGCAAGTAAGCCCCCCAAAATATATTTAAAACATCTTGCTCTCCACTCTGAAAACTCCCGACTGAGACTGTAAACAAAATAACTTTCCACTGCATACAACAGGTTGGAGCCCACAGTGGAACCTGACCACGCCCTGTCATCGCAAAGTTCCGTCATTTCTAGGAGAAAGAACTGGTTAAGATCAAGGGTTGGGAGCTGAACGGGACTACTTTTGTAATGAATGACCAATTTCCAAAAGGAATTAACGAGCGGAGTACTGTATCCTATCCTCAGACAGAGGGGTGAATGGGCCACCCTGTTTGTGGATAAGTTGTACATTGAAGGACAGCTTTTCTGGGATTCCTCCATCATGCCCTGGCTCGTGTGATAACGTGTACGTGTGACATTTGGAATATATATATATATATAAATATAGAGCAAGCTGTTTTGAGGGAAAGAAAACAGAGAATAAAAAGTGAAATGAATATATGTCGCTCTCAAAAAAAGTCAGGGTAAAGCTCCACCACCGGGGCCATGGAACAAAGAAACAACAACAGAGCAAAAGCAAATCCCACAGTCCTTTTCCTCTGTTCTCTCTGGTCATGTAGCACCAAGTTTAAAAGTGTTTGTGTCTTTCTACTGCAGACAGCCCAGTTTTATGAAAAGACCATCTTTCCAGCAGTGAAATACTTCTTTAATAACCGTTGGGTAAGGTTAGCTGTGTGATGCTAACAGTTAGCCTGTCACTGTGTGTGTGACTGTGTCCGAGGCGTGGAGCTCACACTCCTGCAGCAGGAGTCTCATGATAACAGAGAGACAGAATCAATACGCTGCACGCAGCTCCACAATGAAATGAGATCTGACCTGTTTTTAAAAAGTCACATTTGTGATAAAGTTGTGGTGATTGGATGAATTTGAGTTCAGTGTTGTGATGGCAACCTCCTGGAGGAAGTGATCAATGAACAGATGATAGATGAATAACTGCAGCTGTATTGTGTCTTATTCTCTCCATCAGATTCCTGTGAACTCACCATCAACACAAACACAGTAAACAAAAAACTCAAACTGTCTGACAACAACAGGAAGGTGACAAGTGTGGAGGAGGATCAGTCATATCCTGATCATCCAGACAGATTTGACAGGTGACCTCAGCTGCTGTGTAGAACTGGTCTGACTGGTCGCTGTTACTGGGAGGTAAAGTGGAGAGGACGGGTTTATATATCAGTGAGTTACAGAGGAATCAGCAGGAGAGGAGGCAGTACAGACTGTGAGTTTGGATGGAATCATCAGTCCTGGAGTCTGATCTGCTCTGATGATGGTCGTTACTATGTCAGGCACAATAGCAGAAGAACAGAGCTCTCCTCCTCCTCCTCCTCCTCCTCCTCCTCCTCCTCCTCCTCCTCCTCTGGTAGAGTAGCAGTGTATGTGGACTGTCCAGCTGGCACTCTGTCCTTCTTCAGAGTCTCCTCTGACACACTGATCCACCTCCACACCTTCAACACCACATTCACTGAACCTCTTTATCCTGGGTTTGGGCTCTGGTCCAGGTTCTGGTCCTCTGGTTCCTCAGTGTCTCTGTGTTCTCTGTAGGAGTGAGAGTCTCCTCCTGTTAGAGAAACCTTCTCACTGCTGAACACATCAGTTGAGTGTGTACAGGATGTCACACAGCTGATGTTAGTTCTGTCCCACCATGTGTCCCTGGTTAGATTCTGGCGGGGGACCTTTGCTTTATGTCCCACCCCTCTCTGTCTCTCTCTGTGTCCATGTTTGCTGTCTGCAGCCCCGACGTATCTGTAAAGGCAACATGTAAATGATGGATGATCAAATCAATCATTGTTTATGACACTGAACTTCTGAACACATTGTCCCTGACTGTGTGTGAATAAAGACTTTATACTGCTGACTCATCATTGTTTGTTGTGTCTCACTGATGTCAAACTTTACAAACTTCAGACTGACTCTACTTTTTCTACTGAGTCTGATAAAACAAGGTGATCAGCTTCATTTATCCCCGCTTGGAGCATGGTGGTGAAGGAAGGGCGCCGTGTGAAGCAGGTACCTGGGAACTCTGCCCATCGACACCCTACACCTCGCACTGTAAAAACTCATGTGAGAAAGAAGACCGGCATAATCGGGACTGGTGTGGTTAGCAATATACTGGCTGTCAAAACAAAGATGGTAAGAGTATTTGCTCCAAAGTTTGATCTCAGCGTGGACGCCAACACTCTCAGTGACTACTTAAAAACGAAGCTGAGTCGGGAAGTGAAATGTAGAAAAATAGAGACGACACAGAGTAGATTCAGGTCCTTCTGTGTCACCACTGAATGTAATGATGTGGCGGAGCTGTACGATCCGCAGCTTTGGCCTGCTGGGTCTTATGTCCGACGCTACTATGAGCCTCGCCGCCAAAGAGGAGCAGACGGAGGCCTGCCTGGTCCAGAGGATGTCCCCCGCCGCCAGGATGAGGGGCTACTGCGCGGTGACGATGCTGGGGTGCCTGTCACATCTGTGGGGGAGGACGGGATGAAGGCCAGCTGCTCAGCAGGGAACAACAAAGATCATTAAATGCGTGTTGTTTCATACAACACTCGCGGTTTGCGAGTACGACATACTCCTACGGATAGATCAAGACGTTTGGTGGTGGACACACTGCTGGACGAATGTGACATTCTGTGCCTTCAAGAAACCTGGATGTTGCAACAAGATCTGGATAAGTTGAACACTCTACACATGGACTTCCATGGGGCTGGAGAGTCCACTACTGAGCTCAGCACGAGGCTGGTTCAAGGTAGGATAGCTGGTGGTGTATTGTGGAACATCAAATATGACCCACTGGTGAAGGTGGTGCATCTAAATGTTGACTGGGCCACAGGGCTAGAGTTTAATCATAATGAAAAGAAATGTAGTATTTTAAATGTTTATACACCGTATGAATCCTATGAGCATGAGGACGAATCTCTGAACAGCTTAGCTTTTATTCAGTCCTTCATAGAGGACAACAGCTCTTCTTGTGTCTACGTCATGGGTGATTTTAATGCTGACATGTCAGACAGCAAATCTTTATTTGCATCACACCTGCAGCAGTTTTGTAATGATTCTAAATTAATTCTATCGAGTAAAGCTTTGTTGCCTGACAGAAGTTTTACCTATGTTAGTGAAGCGTGGCACACAACGTCTTGGTTAGACCATATTGTGACCACAGCTGATGCTCATGCCTCATTGGAAAATGTGGAGATATGTTATGAACTTGCCACCTCTAATCACATACCTATTGCTGCACTGTTATACGTTGAGAATGTCCCCCTGCTGTCCAGTAATAGTAATTGTCAGGTCAAACTGGAGTAAAATAAAGAACTGAACAGATAAGACAAACAAAGCTGAGGAATCCACAATAAACCGGAAGGAGGAACCTTTCGCACCATTGCCCAGTTACTGCCCGGCCCATAAAGATCGGCACACGTTAACAGGTAAGGAGCGAGCGGACAAAGGTACACAGACAGCAGGCGTATCTCTGCTCCCTCATCCTTCACATCCTGCAGGAATCATGCAGAGTGAGAGCATCTAAACACCAGAGAGACAGCCGGTAAGACGCTGAACTGTTTAATGAAGAGACTTGTGCACGGAGGTTGTTCATTGTGAGTAATTGGTTGTGATAACGCTAGCTTAGCCACGGGGTCGGACGCCCAGTAATGCGTGGTGTGGTAACTGACTGTCTGTGTGTGCTGATCGCTTGTCAATCTCCCTCCTGACTTTTGAAATGTGTTACAAATGTAATGTGTAAATTGTAAATTGGTATGGGTTGAGTACATCCTAAAAAAGCATTTCACTTTGACGTTTAGTAAATTATGAATGTAC